TAGGTTTTGATTTGTAAAATAGAATTAGGGTTTGGGAGTATTGTTACGTGTGAAAAATATATTAGCTCCTTTGTGATGTCCCTTCAAAAAACGATACCAATTCATCACACGTTATCTTCTTTTTGCCTTAATTAATAGTCTTTAATTTCATATTTGCTTTTATTTATCTTAATTGCCATTTATTTTTTCTTTTCTTTCATTTTTTTCGTTAAACCATTATTACATATTGAAAAATTTTCCTAGGTCTTCCTAGCACTTTAACAAAACTTAAAGAATTTCTTCTTACCTTAAAAATATTCAAGAAAACACACTTAATTTCTTGAGGAGAATTTGTTGTCAAATTCATGAAGTGTTATAAAAAGGGCTTTGATTTTATATTTTATTATTTTTCATTTTTTTGATTTTTTTTACATCGTCTAATTTCATTTGATATATAAATGAAATCTGTTATATTGGAAATTATTCTAAATTTTCCCAATAGTTTGGTGAAATTTAGAAATATTTCCTTATGTAGAGGATTTTCAAGAATTTTGTCTCTACAATTTCCTAAATAATTTCATTGTCGGACTTTCATTGATTTGTGCAATTAATATTTTGGATGCATGGAATGCAACATAAAATAAAATGACAATGCAATCCTATTAAATAGAACATGAAAACCTTTGTATGGAAAACTTTTTTAAAATTCTTTCAATATTTTGATGAAATTTAAATTAGTTTCTCGCTTAAGGAATTTTCAAAAACCTTGTCTTCATAACTTTTTTGAAAAATCCCATCATCGAGGCCTTCAGTTACTTGTGTAATAAACGATCTGAATGCATGTAATGCACAAAAAATAATGATGATGTAATTATCATTTTTTTCTTTATCATTGTTTTTCTTTTATTTTACCTTTTCTACTCTTTTCTTAAAAGAAACTTTAAATTATATTTTTATTATTCCTTTGTTAGCACATTCAATTATCTATAATTATATGAATTAATTTGGGTATTGAAATAAATATTTAGGAGGCTTTGGTGGAGTCCTAAATTCTTCCTCACCCTAGTAATATTAATTTGAAGCATGTCGTTACATATTTCAAATAAAATTCCATCATAAGAAATTAATTTCAATGATCATTTATTATTATTAATCTTTATTTTATTGTTATTAAATAATTAATACTATTAATTATATAATATACTTAATAGGCTTAGTAAATTAAAAACAGACTAAAAAAATGACTTACCACATAAGTTGGGCTATGGGTTGGTAAGCTCCCAAATTGGATTAAGTCAACCTCAACTTAATTCTTTTTTGTTTTCTTTTTGGTACAACCACCAAAACGATGTAGTTCTAGTGTTAGTATATGCGTCATGAATCTCACATTAATAAAAGATAAAGTGAGCCTGGACTTTATAAATAAGAGTTTTCCTTCACCCAACAAGTATGTCTTTTGAGTTAGAAACTTGAGTCCATGACAAGTAGTATTATAGCAAATTTAAATCTTCACTGATATGAGACCTCATGAGAGATATCAAGGTCAAGATAAATCCAGACAGAATGCGTTCCCTTTCTTTTGTGGATAAAAGAGCTAGTACAATAAAATGTTACACAATTGGGCAGAGTAAAATGTCACATATCTCTTATCAACAAGAGTTGGCACAATTGGATGTGGTAGAATGTTATAAGGGTTATCTCCACCTAACAGTGTTTTGAGTTAGAAACGTGAGGCCATGGCATATAAACCTAGTCCTAGAACCCTAACGTTAAAAACCATATTTTCTTTATCTTCTCTCCTTGCTTTTTCTCCCTAGCCAATAACCGTTCATTCTCTCATTACAATCAAGGTTCCGGCCATCATTGCCATCTCCATCGTTGATCACTGTTCGTCGATGACTAACATTAAAAAAGTTTTTGTATTCAATTCCTCTCAGCTTCCCCATCCCAATTCTAAAATCCTTCTCTTTTCCTACCTTTTCTTCTTCAAAAACCTAGATTCAGTCGTCACCACTAAATATGGTTGTCATGGTTGCCTTTTCCTTTTTCATCTCCTTTTCTCCCTACTTTTAATCGATTGTGTTATTCCTTGTCTTCCTTAGCCACTATGAATCGACGCTTTTGCACGTGACTCTCTCTTTTCTTTTTCTACTTCTTTTCCTTTCTTTTTTCATCTTTTTCCTTTTGCTAAAAATAAAACCTCAAAGAAAACAGTTAATCCTTGAAATAAACCCTAACTCAAGCCTTAATCGATCTTTTCTTTTTTATATTTTTTTGTATTTTTGGTTTATTTATATTTTTTTGGTTGTTTGGTCTCAATGATTTGTCTTAGTGATTTTTGGTTGTTGTGTATGGTGTATGGTTGCTAAAGGTGGTGGAGGGTGAAGTTCGTGTTGGTAATGTTTATTGGGAAATAAGTGATTTTGGGTGGGTTGTCTTGGATTTTTTAGATTGAAATAAATAAGTTTCTATTTGGGTTATGGAAGTATGGGCTCTATTTCTATCTTTATGAATTTCTTGCTTGAGAGTTTGTTTGACTTAGTTTTTTTTTTTAACTTAAAAGCTATTATAAAGTTTTTATGAAAAATAATAGTTTTTAAAATTAAACTAAAACTAGTTTGGTAAGTTGTTTGATAAAATAAATTATATAAATTTTAATTTTAATTAATTACTATAAAATGTATCACGTCATCTTCAATCTCCTAATAAACTAAAATAGAACAAGTCTATTTTGAGTTTTTATATGATTTCAGATGTTAAAATAAAAAAAATCATAAAAAAACAGAACAATTTTCAAACTTGTATAGTAATAATAGTATTAGATTTTTTTGTAAAGGAGAGAGAAAACTTTTAAATAGTACTTGAATGTAGCTTTGAATTTTTTGTTTTTTTTCTCTTAATCTTTGTAAGAACAAAAAAAATTAGATTTTGCTATTTTGTTTCTAGATCTTTTATTTATTTTTTGTTTTTAGTAATTTTTGTAGAAAAAAGTAAAGGAGAGGGAGAATGCAATTTTGCGTTAGAGAAAGGTGATTTACAAAGAGACGGAGACAAGAGGAAGATTGATTGAGAGAGAGAGAGGTATTTTTTAAAAAATTGACGTGTTTTTTAAAAAGAGAAAAAAGATCATTTTTGAAGTTTTTTTTGAAACTATTTTTTAAAAAAAATTTTTTAAAAGGAAACTATTCTTTTTTAACAGTTTCAAAAAAATCCTGTTTGGCCTTACTTCTACTTTTAAAAGATAAATAAGTTAAAAAACCAAGCCAAATAGAATTACCTATGAGTTTTGGGGATATTTTTGAGTTGGTAGCCGTTAGTGAAGGGTGGGGATTTCATTTGGACAAGCTGCAACGAAGGCTGAGATGGTAGTGGGAAGTGTCCATTTTGGCTGCTTTGCTTATGGCTGTGATGGCCAATCTGGAGGGGGAGATGTGTTTTCCCCTCAAATCTCATTTTTCCTTTTTTTAAAACAACTATTTTCCCTCCTTGAAGAAAAAATACTCTTCTGCGACAATATTTTATTATAATTTTTTATTGCAAGTTTTTGGTGATCAATAGCTTCTGTAAAACATATAGAATCAAAATCTTGGAGTCATTTTGCATTAATCTTGAAGAGATAAAAAACTTATATATGTTTGATCAAAATAATATTATTTAATAATTTTAACATAATATTTTAAAAAATTACTTAATTATTTAAAAAAATTCAAATAAGTCTCTTATTCTCTTATTTCATTCAGTTAAGCATTTTTATTTTTATTTTATGTTGATTGATTGCTGTAAGTTAAAATATAATTTTTTATTTTATATCATATGTTGTTAATGTGATACAGGATGATGATGTGAAATACCGATGTAGCATGATAAAATGCTATTTTTTTTTCTTTCATATGGCATAAAAATGACAAGTTATATTTTGATTAATGACAATTAATTGATTTTAGATAAAAGTTTATTTGATTAAAAATAAAATATTTTAAATAATTTAAAGTATTTTTAAAGTATTATGCCAATATTTCTTTAATTTATTTTTTTTTAAAAAAACACCCACATAGTGGGTGTGGCGAATTCTAATAATAATTAAAGAGAATACATGGCGTTGACTAATGTTGGTATAAGTTACCTCGGCAGGAACATGAAAATGTGAGTCGAAATCGATATCTATATAATTCGCAAATCGATATTATAAGTTACAACTCCTTTTGTCTGCCTTTCATTTCCACTGAACGAGCAGAATATATTGCAAATTATTGTCCCTTTCTATCCCAAGCAGGCAGAGACTGGTTACCTTTTGCAATCAGTAAGTGTCCTGTGCGGTTAATTCCAACTCCAACCTGGTTCCGAAAAAGGGGGAGATTCAGCAAACGTATTTGAAACAACAATAGACATTATAGCAGCTGCCAATTCCAGTGTTTAGAAGCTAATATTAAGACATATAGCTGGTTGTCGCAATAAGAGAACATCTTAAGCATTTAATGAAAATTAAGAATATACCTTTAAGGGAAGAATCTTCCCAATAAAGCCCCACTGAAAATAAGGGCACCAAACCATTTGTTGGACACAAACCTGTAACAAAGAAAAGGAGAATTTAGAGGGAGTAGTAAACTGCCAACAGAATTTAACATTTACTCCCAAACAAATTTCCAGCACTGCTGAAAGAAACTTGAGATTCGGTGTGTTTAACCCCTAAATATTATAAATATTATATATATATATATTTATATTTATATCAATATCCAAGGTACTTTGGGCATAGCACAGAATTTTGACATGTACTGCAATCAAGACTAAATACTCACTTTCTGCTGCAATCAGCTGGGGATGACAGATTAACAGTTCCTATCTGCCAAGCTAATTGTCCAGATGCTGCTGCCAGAAACACATAATAAGGCCAGCCTGCTCCACAACATATTTTGAAAATTTTAACAAAATTAGAAAGGGTTATGATAATCAAACAAAAAAATGTTAATTGAAAAGTTCTAATCTCCAGCACTCGGTACCTATTCCAGCATTGTATCCGCTTAGAGCAAGACTACTGATGCATGCAATTGCAAACGCAGTAGTCCACTCCTTCGATGAATCCCCAAATTTCAAGGCTGTCGATTTAACACCAACTTTGATATCATCTTCTTTATCCTGAATGCATGGTTATCAAAGTCAAAGAGAACGGTTTCTAGATGATTGCTCCATCGTACCCTACTTATTTCATCATACCAACAAATCTTGGAGTATAGAATGTGTCACAAAGCAGGAGGGGAAGAAGATAGAAGAAGGAAAATAAATGGGTTTGATGATGTTAAGAAATAAGAGGAACCACTTTGAGTCTCTGACCCATGAATGAATTTAGGATAACTAAAAAGTTAGGAATATTACGATGGAGTAGTTCTTACTATATATCCTCACGTAAATTCTATCCGTGGTCCTTAACATTTTATTTTACTGTAATCTCTATTTTTTGAATTCTCTCATTTAAATTTTAAATTTTTACAAGTGATTTTATTTTGATCGTTTCTTCACATTATTTGATTGACAATTGAGAAAAATGTTCATATAATTTATCATGAAATCTGCAATATGAATATTAGATCAATTTTAATAAAATAATTTAATGAAATAATCAAAATAGAATTATATTAAAAAATCAAAAATTAAAAATCCAAAATAAAACAATTTAAAAGCTAAAGAATTACGTGAAACGAAAGCAACAGGTGGTGAAGCATAAGTGATAATTTTTTGTATATTCATTCATCATAAATAAAATTTTGCCATCCCACAAAAGCATGACCCTCAAAATCTCTTTCAAACGTCATCAGCAATCTCTCCAGCCCTTGGCCCCTACAAGGCTACCAGCTTCAACCAGAGTCAGGTTTGACAAAACTGATAATACAAGTGCATAATTTCTTCTCGTTTAAGGAATAGGAGAAACTTATAATTGCAAAGAGATGAATTTTACCTGATGCGCGTATATGGTATCGTACACAAGAGTCCAAAATATACCAGACATGTACAAAGGTAACACGATAGAGGGTTGTAAGCTTGCTTTAATTGCATGCCAGCCGAACAAGGCCCCCAAGTTGAAGGTCAAACCTAAATAGGCCTGGGCCTGCATTAACAATAGGTGTGTCAAAACAAAAGGGTCTGAAAGCATAAACACCCAACAAACTCTGAACCGGAAAACAAAAAGGTGCAATAACATCATTACCCAATATGTGAGCCTCTTCATGAGAGGATAGGTAGACATTAGAAAGATGTATGAAGCCTCATAGATCGGGCTGTAATTAAGATATGATTAACCAATGTTAGACCGGTACAAGAATCAAAAGCTAGTCCGGATTGCGAGTGTAATGCGAAACAAGTTTACAAGTTGAAGCAAGGAGAAGAGAATCAAGTGACCTATAATTGGTGAGTTGCAGGAGAATTCCATGACTCAAAATTAATTGAAACGCAAGAAAACAAAGTCCTTGAAGTGGAGAGACAGCACCACTCGCGATCGGTCTCAGTTTTGTACGCTCCACCTGCATACAAAAACATATTGCCTCCACATATTAACGCTTCTTGCAACTGTTGAATTCCACGTTGATAAGGTGGATTTAAAGAATTGACGCTTTTTTCTTTTCTTTTATTATTTTTTTAATTTTGCAAGGAAAAATTTGACAAGAACAAAAAATGAATTATTTTTTTTGAGGGAAAAAATAACTTTATTCTCTAATCATACAACGGAAGCAAATACCAAAAAATTAATTAATATTAACCTAGCTAAATAAGTTTATTTAAATTTGCAGCATAACCGACCTAGTTAAAACACTTGGAAAAAATTATTAAATCATGAATTAAGCCTTTTAAATTAAAGAAATTCTGTCTGATTATTGTTTTGGAGTAATTTTTAGCTTTGTTTTGGAAATGAAAAGAAAAAGAACTTTTTTTTTTTTTGAAAGGTGGTTTTATTAAGTCTTTTAAGTCCTTAATATAATTGCTTTGACTAGGAGGTAACTGTACAATTACAACCTTTGAAAAGCTACCCAGAAACATTCTTCCTAGAGCCGATCAGAGTCAATAAGGCACTGTACAAAAAAAGTAGTAGCCAAGAACAGGTCAAAGCCACAAGTAAAAGAGCCCATTGATGAACAATAAAAATATATAGACTATTCATCAAACGACAACCCGGCGGCTTCTCATGAAATATCAATAGACTATATATATGTATTTGTTTTTTCCTGGAATCAAAGACCATTGATAACCATTTTATTTTATCACAAAAATTACCATTCTATCAATATCACGGTCAAGGATATCATTTATGGTACAAGCAGCACCCCTCAAAAGTGGAGCTGCACAAGCAAATAGCGCTAATGTCTTGAAATCAGGAAGACTTCCAGGCGGTGCTGCCAACGTAGCTGACCTGGAAAATTAAGTGAGCAGCAAATTTCAGGGGAGTTTACTGGAAGAATATCTGATCCCACATGAATATCCAGAAAGCAACCATTAGAAGGCATGCATTTTTAAGTTTTTACCCGAGAGCCAACCATAAAAACAAAAACGGAAAATGAAAGTAATGAGCTCTTACCATAAAAAGGGCCAAATCAATAACCATGTACCGATGGGCTTCTCCACGCGAGCAAGCTTAGCGTAAGGCTGAATTTCTCTGGGTAGGTAATCAATCCACGATAAAACCCCACCAACTTTCTCATTTTCGCCACTTAGCTTTTGATCATCTTTGCCTCCCGGAGATGTGGTTGTTGACATGCAAGCAATTCCGGTTTTAAAATTTGAGGAAAGCAAAACGGAATTTTTCCTGGAAAAAGATCGACTCATGAATTGGCTGTCGAAAGCAGGATTCTTTATTATCCTTGTTCTTAGCTGTGAAAAAGAGTGAGAGGGAGTGAGGAGCCTGCGTGAAGCGTGAGCGAGCGAAAGTGATGCCATTTTTGCTGGTTGCAACTGGAAATGGGATCAATGTTTCTGATCTTTAGTTTTGGGGTTTGATCTACTTGATCACAAGTAGACTAAACTCAAACCAAGCCTAACATAGAAAATCGGGAGTGAATTTCGTCACAGTATAGATACTTGACAATTCTACTATATATAGTGCACACATATAGAGACGGTGACCAAAATTCACTTAGCATTTGGTCAGAAATAATACAACTGTTGGAAACTTGACTGGAATAAAAAACCCATTAACCTCCAAGTGCAACAACTTAGCGATGTCACATTCATTGCCTAGTAGGTCTTTGTCTACGGCCGCCATGGAATTTGCCTTTGAATAAGAGCACCTAGCAGCCCCTCTCTACGGACCCAGTCAAGCGGCGTGCATGCGGTGGAAATTCAAGCCTGCTTTGTCGCTGCTGCTCTCCCTACTCTAGTCTTATTCACAATTTCTGTGAAGTTTTTGGATTGATTAAAATTTGGAATCTTAGTTATTAAGTTTTTAATAACTAGTTGTACAGTTTTTACTTTTTGCTTGACATAGTCTTAATCGTATTCTAATTTAGATTTTTTTATTATAAAAATGAGTTTCTAAACTTTGGACTACATGATGGGCTTTTGAGAGTTTAAAAGAGGAAGTTCAAGAACCTTTTTGTTATTTAAGTCGAAAGATTTTAGTAACCGTTATTAAGTTAGTGTTTCATGTGCGTCCTGACTCTGTTCTGATACTGATGACTGCTCTGAATGATTTTTGTTAAGGAAACTTCCTGGGTCGGAAAATTTGGATTTTCTGTTTGTCCTTGGGAGCCGATAATGAGCCTTAGGATGTGCAGTTTCAAGATTGGCCATGCCTTGAAATGATGGCCTCTATGGAACAGTCTGGTTAAAGAGGCTCTGGGATGAACTTTTGTCATGGAAATGAGTCTTATGATCTGGGGTTTTAAGATTTAAGAAGGAGGAAGTCAATTGAATTGAGAGCCTTTGGATTACAAGATTTTGATGGGGTAAATTTCCAGACACTTGGAGCGGTAAGGGAGGAGCTTCATGGTTTTAACCTTCATCAAATAGGACCTGGACGACCTAGGTTTTTTGTGTTTAGTGGGTTGGGCTCCATTATTTTTGTCAAGCAACTACCAATCCAGGTTGTATGTAATTGATGTTGCCATCTCTAAAGCTTTAAGGGTTTTGGTTTGCTGTGATAAGTCACATGAACAAAGCCTTATGGCAGCATGTTGTAACACATCTTTCTGAAATTTATTCATATTTTGCCTTTAAAAAATGAAAGTTAGTATTTCATAGAGAAGCAAAACTTGCAATGGACATAGCATATGCGGAGACAACCTCTGAGTTTCCAGGAATTTGTGCATCAAAAGGTTCAAATGGAAACTAAAGGCAGGTTGACTTGACTGAGACGCCCATCATGCAGAAGAAAGGACTTCTTGCAAGGATGGAGGCCCTTATGAAAACAGTAGAGATGGATCGGCGCTATTTCCCTCGTTGCTCAGAAGTGCTAGATAAGTTCACGGAGGACGACCTTCTTGATTTATTTTACCTTGAGAATAATAATATATTCTTAAATTTATTGATTTATATTCACAAAACTCTTTTTTTTATCTCTAGTCATTTTATTTTATCAAAAAGTATGACATGGTGAGTAAAAATGAATTCTTAAATTTATGAGTGTTAAATTTTTTTAATAATTCTAGTAGGATATTTCTTAACGTGTAACAAAATGATTGATAGCTTGACATGTAAAATCAATAAGAAAAAAAGAAGCTTTTACGTGTTATATATGATATTAAAACTTTGATTTTGGTGTGTAATTCAAACTTTGACTTTGGCATGTCTTGGCGTGTAACATTTAGTGTTACATGCCACTAAACGGCACTCTCTCACTTTTACGTCACTTCAAGGACAAAATTTGAAAATAAAAAAAAAATAGTCAGCCCTAGAACTTGGCATCATTTGAAAAGTGCACTTTTAATTTGAGACGGAAGGTGCCATTTGGATTGTTTTCAATTATTGGTAGGGTGACATTTCTTGGAATTCCAAGACAAATATACATTAAAAATTCTACTACGACTGTTAAATTTTTAGGATTGACTAAGGAAGTAAGCAAGCAGTATGGTTAAGAACTTATTATATGAACTGCTTTAGGGCCAAAACCAGTTACATACACATATTTCCATATGATAGTGAAGTTATACTGTCTCAGGTATATTGCTAAATATATATAATAGAAATTCTATACATATTGATTAAAAATATAGCTATATAAGAAATATATAATCAGATTGGATAAATCAATATAAAGGAGCAGTATTCTTAATTTATTTTTATTGTTATTTTTCTTTTTTCGTAGAAAAGGAGATAGTTATTTTCACTTTAGTATCCAAAATATGCAAGTGGAATAAAACCTTTTTTAGGTTTTTTTTTTAATTTTATACTGTTTTCATGTAATCTTAATGTAACAAGGTAGCTAAATCTTGCAGGAACTTTCAATATTAAAAAAAAAAAAGGATTGACTAGGTCATCACCATAGATTTTGTCAAAGTAAAATTTTGACAAATTAATCTTTGACAAAGGGACTTGTAAGGAAAATCACTACAAAAAATTGTTTATTTCAATGAATTTTCGTCAAAATTTCAACGAAATCGATTCTACATGATTTTTGACAGATTTTCAATGAAACTTACCAACAAAATGGTTCAAGTTGAAGATTGGTTGAGAAAAAAAATGTGAAGCCAAATAAATTCATTTGGTTTTCCATGAAAATTTACAGTAGACAGAATTGATAACAAAAATATATTATAAAATTAATAAAACAATAAGGGTAAATTACCCCACCAGGTCAGGATTCGACCGTAATTTATTTTAGATCCATTGATATTCAAATAGACATTCCACTTCAAAATACTATACTTTGCAAGACTCATAACTCTTGTCTACAGACAGTATTTTGTGTCCAACCTTATTTTTGTTTCTTTTATCTCATTATTAAATTATTGTTACGTTCGATTTTCTTTTGGAATGATATTGGGTCTAATTTTCTTTTGGGCCTCCTTTGAGTTAAACCTCAAAAAAACCTTACTTGCCTTGAAGTGGGCCTCTCGGTTCATCAAGCCTGAAAAGCCTTTATACCTAATTAATAATAAAATATATACATGAAAGTTAAAAACACATAATAAAAAAAATTTGTGATATTGCTGTGATGCTCGACATGCCATCCGAGGTGATTGCCATGGCAGGCCAGCTGACAGTCAGCCTTCTCTCCCCACAAAACCAAGGAACACCATTTTTGGAAAATAGTTTTTGACCTTTACAGTTGACCTTTTGCCCCCTCCCTAATTCGTGAAAAAGATTAAAAAACTCTTGCAAAAAAGTCAAGGGCTTCACAGCTTGCTAAACCCAAGAACATTACTGTTTACAACCATCAAAGCCTTGCCAACGGCAGCGAGCAATCCTAAATCACTAGAGTGAACCCTACTAGAAAAAATCCAACAACCATTTCATAAGCAAACCTTAAAAACACAAAAGCCAACATCAAAAACCGCAATCCAAGCAAAAGAAAAGAACACTAGCGAACAAAAATCAACCAGAAAATCAAAAAAAGAAGGAAAAAAAAAGGTTGCTAGGGTCACAGCCGAGCCTCCTCTGCTGTGAAAGATTTTTAACTTTTGGGTTAAAGTTCTTGAGGGTCTTTCTTCGATTAAAGGAGAGGTTTTAGCGTATAAGTGAAGAACAGAAGATCACGGAGAACGACGGGGCGAAGGGGTTACTGGTAGGTAAGGCTTTGGCTAGAGCTTATCTTTTAGAGAGAGATTAAGAGAGGTCGCCGCCACTAAAGAGGGAAAAGAAAGACAGAAAGAAGAGACTAGGGTTTTATATTTAGTTCAGATACCTATGTTAGCAATGTGAAACATGTATTTTTGGTGAAAAGAAAAAGAAGAAAGGGAAACGAAGGAGAAGAGCAAAGAAGAAAATAAAAAAAATTAAAAAAAAAAAAGGAAGAAAGAGTGAGGCGTGGTGGTGATGGGAGGAGGAGAACAGGGCTGAAACAGGCCACACCTAGCCCGTGTGGACCTCCACCAAGTCCAAAAAACTTGGGCTTTAGGTGAGCCCAAACCAGGTAGATATTTTTGAGCCATTTCATTTTGTTTCCTGTTGGGTTTTGTTTGATTACTTTTATGTCATTTCTATTTATTTTACTACAAATTTTAGTTAAACATGTAATGTAAGAATAAATATATTTTGGTAAAAATATTAATGAACCTATTAATTTTTTTGTAATTTTATAAAAAGTAGGGTCAAAAACTCTAAATCAAAAAGTAATTTATATATTAATATTTAAATACTGCATGGAAAGATCAAAATATTTCTTTTATAATTTAAGATTTTATTAAAAATGTCAAACTTTAAACTACTCTTCCTCTTTAAAAATTTAAGTTTTACTCTTGAGACCCGTAATGGTGCTTTCTCTTCTCAATCCTTGAATGCATTTTTCATTCCGTCAAAACAACTCATCTATGCAAACTTCACCCTAAATATAACACCATTCAAAAAAATTTTTAGGTCTGCCCCTGTATGTGAGCATACATTTAATTCCTAGTAGAGTTTATACAATAACAATCTAAATGCCATATAATGGCTACAACCGTGGGCCACGACCCTACACAACTGGCTATAAACAACTACACTTGCTTAAACTTTGGACTAACAGAGTTTACTCAGAAAACGAAATGCACAAGAGATGCCAGATTACCTTCGCACCAAGCTAGATTTAACCCACCAAGGTGCTCCCAATTAATTGCTTATCTGCTATTTGTCAATTAATTGGGATGAGTTTTTTAGAACTTAGTGAGTGGACGAAGAAAGGAAATAAGGTTGAACATTTGATGAAATAAAAGCTTAGAAATAAAGGTTCAAAATGAGCAATTATATAATGCAAATGAAAAATCAACGTATGCATTAAGAACACAACATAAAATCAAGTACATGGCATGCACGTTCTTGTATATGGTCTACATTTATCTAATTTCTACATCATGATACGTATCTTGCAAGTTTGGTTTCAATTTGTAATTCAAGATGTCAATATACAACCAATTTCATG